GAGACAGAGTCTTACTTTGTTGCCCGGGCTACAGAGCAGTTGGCGTTATCATAGCTCTCTGCAACCTCAAACTCCTGAGTTCAAGCAATCCTCCTGCCTCAGCCTCCCAAGTAGCTGGGACTACAGGTGTGTGCCACCATGTCTGGCTCATTTTTGGTTTTTGTAGAGATGCAGTCTGCCTATGTTGCCCAGGCTGGTCTCGAACTCCTGGACTCAAGTGATCCTCCTGCCTTGGCCTTTCCAAAGGATTACAGGCGTGCGCCCCAGCCTGTTTTTTACATGTTAAGTGCTGCGTTATAAATGTGAAATTTAAAAAATACAGACTTTTATCTGACCAACCTGAAAATTTTGAAGTTAGCTTCAGCAGTGAATTCAGTCTGGACCTTTTTCAGTTTCTTTAGGAATAGGAAAGGAATGGTTTACCTTATTTTTCAACTACAAAATGTTTCCTAAATTTGAAGATTAGTGGAGGAATGAAGACAAAGGGAGAAACCTTCTTTTTATACTCAAAGTGGAGGAGTGGTATTTCACGTGGAATTTCTCAGTTGTTTCTGATGAATCCAGGAACCTGAGTCAATTCACAGGTATCATCAGCCTTTTTGTGATTTGTTCCTTGGAACCTGGGACCTGGAGAAGTGAAGGCTCTTTGGAAACTCCCCCTGGAGTGGCGGAGGGGTGATTTCTGGGCAGTGTTAGAAGTAGGGGCTGGAGGTTGGCTGAGATGCTGGAGCTAGAAGCACATTTCCACAGCCGGGCGGCAGGTCGGAGCCACTGAGGCCTTGACAACCTTGAGCAGAGCTGAGTTCTTGGAGGTGGAGGGGAAGGAGGAGGAAGAGCCAGGCAGGGAGAGAGAGCAAAGCAGAGACCCAGGAGAAGTCCTGGAAGCGGCAGCTCCAGAAGGGCCGAGGGTTCAGCTAGCAGGAAGCAATGGCTGCTGTAGAAAGAGACCATTCAGGTCAGTGGAGGATGGACACTGTAATGTGTGTGGCATTAAGGGAGAGGGTCGTGAGGAAACCCAGTTACCCAGGAAACGATACGGTGTTTCAAAGGCTTTGGTGGGAAAAGGGAGTTAGATAGTAGCCAAGCAGGAAAAGAGAGAGAGAACTGCCCGTTTCAGGATGGAAGTGAAGAAGCCACAGGGAGAGACGGAGTGTGCCCTGGGACTGTGAGGAAATCCACTGGACGCGGGGGTTTGATGCAAGTGCTCGTACGAACACGAGGAGGAAGAGTTTTGCACCCTCCATTTCCTTGGCGGCGGCCGGCCCCTTGGCTGCGGTGAGTCCTCATGGGTGCGTTGGCAGAAGGATCAGACGATGCTCCGTTTGCGTGTGTGAAGAGCCTTAGATTCCAGGTTGTGAATTTGGATATTGTTATGTGAAACCAGGAGCAGAGGGGGGTTTTGTATGATATGTGGGCTTTTCAAGTCATCGCTTTTCTGACGCTACAAAGTACCTTCTATGGGCCAGGTACCGTGTCAGGGCTTTTCATTCCATGTGTTGGTTTATGTAGTTCCTGCAACAGCCCTTCAAGTTGAATAGCATTGTCTCCATTTTGCCAGTAAGGAAACTGAGATGAGCCGCTCCCTGGCTTGCCTGAGGTCCTGGGGACAGTAAGCGACTGAGCTGCCTCCCAGTCCGGGGCTGTGGGCCTTCGTGGGCCGCGCTCTGTCCCTGCGCGGCGGAGAAGGCGTTCGTTTGTTTGTTTCAGTGATCGCACGGTCCTCGACTATTAAGAACATTCACATCCTCTTTCATGGAAGGCAATACCCACACACAAGTGTTGAGAATGGTTTCTGCGTGTCTGCGTGTGCCCGGCCTGTCTCCACACGCGTCATTTCGCTGCAGTGCAGTGGACTTGATCGTTTCCCACCCTGTCCACCATGCTATACAGCTTGTTTGCTTATTTTCATGAAACGCTGGCTCATGTGACTGTTTGGGTTGTTAGGCCAGTTGTTTAAAGGGTGATATTAGAAAGGCGAGAGTGGCTGAATATAACCGTATGGGCCAGAGAGCTTGACCATTTTGGGACTTCCACACACACACGCCTGAGCTCAGCCACCACCATGAAACTTGTCACGGGGGAATGCTGTTAAGAGTGTGCTTCCTGAGAAACAATTTAAAGCCCATGCCCTAACGGTTGTTAGTGATACCATTCTTGCATGTAAAGAATCATACATTAGTAATTCTTGTCTCCCATGAAGATTTGCCATCACTTAGGAATTTAAAATTAGGGATCTCTTCTCTTTCTCTCGTTCTCTCTGTGTCTCTGTCCTTGTCTCTGCCTCTCTCTAGTGCACAGGCACTAGAAGTGTGGAGGATTCTGGATCCTCCAGGCGCATGACTGCTTCCACAGAAAATGATTTTTGTCTTCCCTTAGCTAGTTCCTGAGGGTCGACAGGACCTAAGGAGGAGGAGGAGGGAAGGAAAATTATCCCTGGAAGTGAGTAAGGAGGGGCCCGGAAGGGGCAGCTGCTCATGGCCTCTGAATTGCTTGTTAACTGTATGGTAGGTGTTTTCCATTTAATCCTAATGCTCAAGGTGAACCTAAGGATTTTTTCCCCCTCCTAATTGTCTTTATACTTCTATATTAAGAAAGCCAAATCTCTTAAAATTTCATTGTATTGAGGAATTATTCTGATTAATCATACAAACCTTTGGCAGTTGGCCACTTTGGTAGACTCTGCCACGTACGTAGCCGTTGGGATAGTCTCAGCAGATAGCCTGTCAATGCCGTGGACCCCGGCCTCTGAATCTGGGGCCTCTGGAGCAGCATGTGCATGTGGCAAGGTTCCTTCTTGGTCATGGACTGGCTTTAGGGACAGATTTTGGGAGACGT